TTTCAATTGTTTATGTACGACTTTGTATTAATACAGAGTTTGTCTTTGTTCTTGTTGTTAAGTCTTTTCTATGCATTGTAGCGAAAGCTTCTTCGTTAAATTAACTTTTCTAGAAGTTCATGATAAAAAGGAAAGCAAATTATGTTCATTAGCGTCCTGTGTGAATTAAATTTATTTCATTTCAAAGTGCAAGTAATAAGTTAAAGCTTGAGTTGAAGAGTTTAATATCGGCAAAAAGCAGTTGATTTCAATTCACATTTGAAACATTTTACGTAGAGTTTCGTTATGAATTTTACATTAAATTAAAGGGGTTCATAGAAACCAAAATAATATACCTACTTTATATGTTTTAGAAATTGTTAGTTCTGTATTCAAAAGTGTTCAAGTTTCATCTGTGTTTTGCAGGTTTGTAGAAAAAACTAACTAACATGACGTGGCAACACGAGCCTCTGTTTCAAAAATATAGACGAGGGGTTGTTGCATGCATGTATTTCTAGTATACTAACCCTTCTATACTGACCCTTGCGAGATTGGGCTGCCTGTGGTGCAATGTAGCTCAGTGGGTGCAATTTTAAAATGATTTTCATGATGGCTGGGGGGAGCAGGAAATCAAAACAACAAAAGTCCAATATGGCGGTGTTATTTATCTTGTATAAATAACAAACGTGGACAAATGTAACTAAATTTTGGAACAATAGTGAGTTTAAAAAACATATGGCAAAAAGAGCCTTGTGCAATTTTGGCACATTTTTCAAATATCACGGCTAGTGTTAATCATTAATTGACCTCCTTTCCTTGTAATTACCTATACTTATATAGCATTGACATTTATATTACAGTGAATAATTGCTGATGTTTTATGATTATTGTATATTATATTTGGTGGCCCCTCTACCTTTCTTGATATATTTTTGGTGGCCCCCAAATACATTCCGGTCCACCCCCTGGCATTAATAATGACTGTTCCGTAAGAGGATGAATAATGCAAAGTATATCAATGAAAGTGCCAATGAATCAGACAAAGTGCTGGAAGTGGTAAGATACTGTTCTTATTGTTATGGCACATTTGCTTGCTAGTCAAGTCATTGATGTCAATGACAATACCTATAGTGTAATAATACTGATAAAGCCATCAAAGGGACCAAATGAGCAGTATCAACATCATGCACTATGGAATTGTGTGTGGAAAAGCTTCACCTTGCTAGTTTTGATCTAGATATAGAATGCAATTGGTCATTACACTAACGTTTTTGTTACAGGCAATAGAAGTTTAGGTTTCTAAAGGAAACCATAATAAACATTTAATTATAGGCCTGTATATAAACATTTAATTATAGGCCAATATAATCTTTGTCGTTTTAGGAGCCTTAATGCAATTACAAAAAGGTTAAAGGCGGCTGGGCCAAAGAAAACCGAAGCAAGTCGCTCAGCTGGTCTAGCTGCGATGATAAGAGAAAGATTAAGCAAGTTTCCAGTTTGGGCCATTTACATCTTGAGCAATGATATTAGCCATCCTTAATTTTTATTACATGGACTTTGGAGTGTTGCAGCTAGGTCTTGATCTGCAATATGACAAGTCTGTTAAATAGATATTGGTACTGACAGAAAACTTTCCAGAACATGTGTAGGTGAATTCATGAAATAACTATATATGAAGTATGTGTATACCAATTTCATTTAGCAAAGTCAGTTCAATGATGATGACACCCTGTGCAATGACAATGAGTGCAAACATAAAAAGGAAACATGGTATTTCAGGAGAGGATCAAATTTCTAGAAAGCAAAAATAGAAGGCTTGAGGACCAAATCACATATGGTGATGGTAAGTTAGTTATACTAAGGAAACATTAAACATTTTCCATGTCAACCAGTGCTCTCACGTTTAAGGAATTATCCTTAAACATAGGAATTTTGAAGAGTTTTAAGGATTTTTTAAAGGAATTTAGGGTTTCTTAAGGAATTTCCGAAACATTTTATCCTGGACTAAAAACATTGGATGGAGGATAACGCCACGCAAATGAGATTAAACTTGAAAGTAGCAATATTATACGCACATAATTACATATATTTGAATGTTCTCTATGTCATAAATGTACATACGGCTGTCTTTCCATTAAAATTCTCAAAAGCTAAATGTCAGTATATGCTGTTTCTCCTGAAATCTACAGATTTTCTAAGCTCTTCATGCAGCAAATGTTTAAAAAACGTATTAAACGAAACAAAACTAAACAATTGACTTAGCTTGCTATCCGAAACACCCCTACGCAATACATATAAACGTTATATACAAAAATCCAAGTATTTTTCGGCTTTCTGGCTTGATAACTCTTGCACAATAAGTTCATGTGATTTAACACAAATCTGACAGTTTATGGTTAACAAGTTAATTTAACTAATGTTGAATAAATTAGAGTTGAATAATATGAGTTAAAAGAGTTTGTGTGTTATATAAAACAAATCAAGGTTTTTTTAATTAACAATAACTAAAATTTGCATGCTTAAAATTAACAATAACATAAATTAACATTAATTAACACAAATTTTTAAAATCTGTGTTAATAAAGTGCATCGTTAATTTCCTATAATAACAGTGATTTTGGAATACCCTACTTATTTAAGTGTGATTTTATCCAAAGTATTCTTGCCAAACAGGGTACATATGCACATAGTAAGTTTAACCTGGTGTCATTTGAAACATATTTTTTAGCTAAAATAACAACTTAAACAAGAAGACCAAAAATGGGGTCACAAAAAGCAGTCGAAATTGTGCCCAAATTTGCATAAACAGTTTGTCTAAAAAGATAACTTTAAACATTTTGTCTAAAAAGATAACTTTAACAATATCATGTCTGCTCACTTCTGTAGCAAAGTTTTTGTAATATCTAGAAGAGTATGCATGTAATTAATCCGGGACCATTCCAGTTGTAACATAGAAAGAGTCCAAAACAGTGCCGTAGCTGGTGGTCCTGCCCATAGATATCTTATATACACTAGATAGTGCATCTACTTATTCTGCAATTCAAAAATTGAAGCCGTGATTGCAGTCTCAGGTCGTTCCCATGCAATGAGAAGATTCGTATATTTTCTATTTCTTAAACACGGAACTTAAACATGAAGTTAACCCTATTCCAAATACGTTTTTAAACTATTCTAATGGTGAAAGTTATTGTTGTTTTTAAGCGTTTATTAGCAAGTGGGAACGACCAACATGGCCGCCATCTATTCAAATGGGGGTAACCGCTGGAATATTCTTGGCTTCAATTTTACTTAAAGAGATGTGCAATCTAGTGTATATAAGATATCTATGGTCCTGCCCAGTAGGACTAAATTTCCTTACTGAAACATTGCTTTATTTATCTTGATGCTTTAAAAATTCATCATTATCATATTGTTATTTTGTCATCTTTTCTCTTCTTTTTTGTTGTTAAAGTGTCTATGAAATGAAATTTTTTATTCAATATTCCTATAGTGTTTAATGTACAAAAGACGATTTTAAAAACACAAGCTCTAAAAATCAAACTTGCTGTGACGTAAATAGCAGGGCACGCTCACAGCCTACCAACTGAAATTAAGAAATCCAGTAGTTTATGTTCGTTTAAAACTCATTTAAATAACTTATATAGTATCAAGTCAAAACCATACAAACTTCCTAATAACCGTAGCTAATATTTAGTTTTGTGAAGAAAATGTTTGTAATATAAGTACTAAGTATTTAGTTTAGTTCAGTAAAGTTCACTCACTAGCTCAGTGTAAGAACAACCGTAAATCAGTTAGAATTTAAATAATGATCAAGGTCAGACTAGTGTTAAGTTTCGTTTGTTCTCACACCGAGAAAGTGCCTATGAAGTATATATGGGGTGAGGTATTAATTGGGACGTAAGTCCTGTTCCACATTCCAGTCACGTGTGTTGTGTTGTAGCTTGTTATGTATATTGTTATGTATATTTTTTATCAGTGTCATTGTAAATATTTGTGACAAATTTAATAATAATAATAACATAAGCTGTATTAAGCTCTGTCTTGTATAAATGATCACACAAGCCTATACAAGATAAATGAAATCTTGACGTTTCGAGCTCTTCCTACTAACTCTCCATGACTGAGGGCCTTCACTCGAAATGTCAAGAAGAACCTTCCTATTAATTCTATATGACAAAGGGCTTCCCTCGAAACGTCGAGAAGAGATTTCGTTTAACTTTTATAGGCCTGTGTCACTGGGCTGCGTGATTTGTTAATACAAGACAGAGATTATACTACACTCAGCCGACGCTGAACAATCCAAGACAAAGATTTTCATTTACATAATAGCTGTGCAAATATGGAGGAAACGTCTCATTCATGTGCAAATGATGGGGGGGGGGGGAATTCTAAAGTGTTTGTCATGCACAAATAGTGGTGACACACCAGGCATTAGCATGCATTGTTTACCGAAAGTTCTGTCTGTACGAAGGCAATGGGTTCGTTTTGTTCGAAGACATCGGTCTGACTTCGACCCTGAAAAGTATTCTTCACAAATATGGTTGTGCTCGGCACATTTTGGTGAGAGCTGCTTCTCTAAGCGTTTTGCGAGCAATTTACAAGGTTTCGATAGCAGTAACACCAAGCGCTTCTTGACTCAAGGCTCAGTTCGAACAATTGACATTGTTGAAAATGTAGATGATGTCAATGCTCAGAGCGACATAAATTTACCTGCTAAAGAAAAGAGACTTGTAAGTATTAACGTAGTAAATTTGTCTTGTTATTATCTTATAAACTGTTTGTTTATTTTGTAATATAGCCCTTTAAAGTATCAAATATCAAGTCGTAGAATCACCATTTTAATTGCAATAGCTGGCCTAACATTTTAGATACACATGCATGTCAAAGTATTGTGTATTAAGGTGGTGTTTTGTGTTTGGTTTAATGTGCTTTATATTTTATAATAACTAAAATTGTATAAATTTGGTTTTGTAGTTGAGATGTGCCACTACATGACAATATCTGCCTGGACCAAATGCAAAACAGAGAAAGTTGAACACGGCAGATGAGAATGATGAATTGGATGTTGGTGCTTTGGATTGTGTTGCTGATGTCGTGGGTGATAGGGTTGGTGAGAGGGATGATGGTGATGTTACTTTGGGCAATGGTTCTGGTGAGATGGGTGAAGGTGTGAGTAGCAGTGAGTTGGGTGTTGGTGTTTCTGTGAGTTTGTCTGGTGAGGATGATGTGCATGATGACGCTGGTGTCAACAGGTGCCAAGAGTGTTTTGCTCACATCACATACAACAAAAATTGTAAGAACAGTATTGAACGATTGGAAAAGATAGTGAAAGGACTGAGAACCAAAATCAGACAAAAACAAGTAAGCAGTATACTATATGATGTGTGTCAAGTGAACAAAAAAATTGGGCTTTTCTCATTCATGTCAAGGCTGACAGGGCAAACACATGTTTACTTTACAGATACGCTAATAGGTGTCCAAAGAATGGTTAGGATGATTACTGTGTCCAGCTTTTCAACTCAATATTATGGGGGGGGGGGGAGTTGGGTTGGTGGTGAGTATGGATTAATTTCAAAATGAAAAGTTTGCAATGTTTGTGTGAATAAAGGAGTCTTTTTTTGTAAACATACTCTCCTTAACTTTGTACTGTAGTATACATGACCTTGCTGTTGGCAACGTAAATTTGTCAAATGGTGAGAAAGTTAACAACTGCTAATTTTGTGAGCACAAGCAACACCATTGGAATGTCAGAAGGTATGTTAATAAAATGGTTAGAACCGTTAGGTGTTTTGAAGGAAGACCCTAGTATTATGTTCAATTGTCAAAATAAATGAAATGTTTCTTGCCGTAACTGCTCTAAAGCAGAATCTAAAGGCATGACAAATGGAATACTTTCACTTGCAGTAGAGAAATGAAGATTTAGCAGTGTAACTCTCACTGAACTCAAAGGAATAATCAATATCTTCAACCGTTACCATTGTGGGTAGTTCCGTAAGTAATAAATAACTTTGTCTTGATATTCTTGATAACATGGAATATAATTCATTATTATATATCAATAGTCAAAGTCGCATTTTTCTAGTGTTTTATTGGTTGAGAGCATATCATGTGAGAGTGACGAAATTAGGCTGTGTCCCTCGCAACAGCACAAGAGAGAGATAATACGTTATCGACGGAAAGCACTAAAGGCCATACAGTGAAACACCTTGCGCCCGCGATACTTACTAAACGTGTGACAGTGGTCAGCAATCATAAAATGAAAATTACATTTTAAAATTCTTTTTGCGGGAAATACAAAACCACAATGGCGGGTGATTTCAAGTATTTCGATGTTCCGATCACAACGAATTGCGGTTATGTTTATTCGTGCAAACGAGCTGAGGAAGCTGTGAGGGAATTCGAAATGCTAACAACATCCAAGTATTCCTGCTACAAATCTAGATCATCTTTTGGCAAGACAGGTACGTGATCATTAATAATTCATGTTGAAAATTGACTTTATAAATATTGATAAACCACCGGCAAGATCGATTGACTGGTTTGTAAGCGATTTGTTTGTTCTATTTTACGTCGACAGATTTGAGCAAAACTAAACATCGGATCCATTGGGAAGATAGTAATAAGGACATGTGTAGTAATGCAGGACTGGAATTTGATGGCATTCCTTTTATAATTCTGGATGCAAAATTACTTGACTGCCAACATGGTGTGGATCGGCACAACAGGAGAAAAATTAAGGCGCAGAATAACACAGTGAGTTGAGAATAAAGTGTCAACTTAAGCTTGGTATTAAAAAGTAATTCAGGGATTTCAGACCCTGGATTTGGTCCCTGTTTTTATTGTCTGTGAGAGAACGGTTGGGTGGGGGGTCGATACGCCGTACACAAAGTTTGGTATCAAGCATATCGACATGATTTAGGAAGCACTTGTTTTCTCCATACCCCCCCCCCCAATGATCTCAAGGGCTAACCTTGTGAAAGTTAACCTTGTGAAATGTGTGGAGGAGGTACGATGTATAATATTCTTTGTATAATCTTTTATGTGGAATTCTGCAAAATCCCACCTCACTCCTTGAAATCACATTTCAGGGATCTGTAATTCAATTTTTTTCCAAC